AGGTAGTATACTTCTAATTACTGCTCTGTCACTATTTCCCTATGGTATTAATATAGTATCTTCTATCTATGTTTTTATGTTAGTAATTGCAGTACTGTGACACACACAGATGTGATGGAGACTGATGTGCTGTTTTGTGTCGTTCAGTTCAGTTGCTGGTTTGGAGGATTGCTGGTTGTTGACGGAGCGTTCGATTCGGGTTGTCACTCTGCAGCTCAAAGTCTGCACCAATCTCCAGTGTCTGGCCATTCACAGCTTCACTGACTTGTACCCCGGTAAACACACACACACTCATAGCAAAGATGACTCATCATTATCAATGCATTTATTATAATGATAACGATAACAGCAACAAAATCAGTTTATGGAAACATTTTACAACATGAGATGCTTAGTAACTAACATTAAAAAACAATGAACATTATATTCATTACAGTATTTGTTCATCCTTGTTATTGAAAATACAATTGAAATTACAATGACTAATGCATTGGTAAATGATAAACTTTTAACTGATAAATGATGTACAAACATTGTTCATTGTTTGATCATTAATTAATTAATTAATTAATTAATTCATTCATTCATTCATTCATTCATTCATTCATTCATTCATTCATTCATTTTCTTGTCGATTTAGTCCCTTTATTAATACCGGGTCGCACAGTGGAATGAACCAACAACTTATCCATCAAGTTTTTACGCAGCGGATGCCCTTCCAGCCGCAACCCATCTCTGGGAAAATTATATTAATAATACATTACACAGCTGACAAAAAATGGCCACAACAAAAGTTAATAAAATAACAAAAGTTACTAAAATAAAAAAAGACTAAATCACTCAACAAAGTTACTTTCAAATTAAAAGATTTATTTTATTTTAGTCAATTAAAACTTCAGGTATTTTTTGTGGAAGTCTTTTCCTGCCTCTAAAAAAAGTCAAAAGAAGTTTATTGCGAATTTCTCAGAATTGCTTGATGTAAACTCAGAATTATGAGATGTAAACTACAAATAAAGAAATAAAGTTGTAATTGCGAGTTATAAAGTCAGAATTCTAAGATAAATAAATAAATTAAAATGGTAAAATGTGACAATTAATTAATTGTAAAATGTTTATTATAATTTATAATAATAAAACTTAAGTAACTGCACACATTGCAAAATGTAAAACTCGCTACAAAAATAGTGAGTAAATTTAATATATAAAAAGACAAAATCACTCAACAACATTAATTTTATTTGTTTTTTTTATTTTTATTTGGTCTATTAAAACATCAGTTATTTCATGTACCTAAAGGTATCAATAAGCAACTTGTTAAAAATAAATGCAGTTAATAAAAAAATAATATGGAAATTAAACATTAACTAGCTTGTAATACAAAGTTGCAATAAATAATTTCTAAAACATTAGATAAAAATAAATTAAAAACGGAACAGTTTTAAACTAAATATTTTAAAACAAAATTACTTAAATATAATTTGATTACTGAAGCTATATAAAATTAATATGTATCAATACTAATAAAATAATGAATAATAAAAAAATAATAAAACTATTTCAATAAATATTGAATTTTCAGTCAATAAATTCTATAGAAAAAAAAATGTTTTATACAACTTACCAACAAAAAAAACAAAACTTTTATTTATTCAATTTTAAATTTAAATGACTAGTTAAAAAAAAATTTGACTGGAAAAAAAAAACTCAAGTAAAAAAGATTTTTAAAAACTGCATTAAAATATAATTGTATAACTAGTAAAACAAAAACACAAAATTCAAATTTCGTAACAAGTTTAAATGCATCAAAATCAAATTCATAATATATATAGTTTAAGTCAGAATTATTAGCCCCCCTTTGAGTTCTTCTCTCTTTTTTAAATATTTCCCAAATGATGTTTAACAGAGCAAACAAATTTTCACAGTATGTCTGATAATATTTTTTTCTTCTAGAGATAGTCTTATTTGTTTTATTTCGGCTTCAATGAAGGCAGTTATTAATATTTTAAAAACCAATTTTGGGACAAAATTATTAGCGCCTTTAAACTAATTTTTTTCTGATAATCTACATAACAAACCATCGTTATACAATAACCTGCCTAATTATACTAACCTGCCTAGGTAACCTAATTAACCTAGTTAAGCCTTTAAATGTCACTTTAAGCTGTATAGAAGTGTCTCGAAAAATATCTATTCAAATATTATTTACTGTCATCATAGCAAAGATAAAATAAATCAGTTATTAGAAATGAGTTATTAAAACTATTATGCTTAGAAATGCGCTGAAACAATCTTCCCTCTGTTAAACAGAAATTGTATTATATAAATGAAAATAAAAGTACAGCAATACCTCAATGTTACTAAAATCACACATTACTATAAGCATTAATTGTAACACTGAGAAGGCAACATGTTCATGTATCTCAGCATTTAAGCATTACTGCAGTTTGTGTGTTTGTATTCTCAGGTTTGTTTAATGTCGGAAATAAACTCCTGGTGACGCTGGATTTGTTCTTTAAGATGAGGAATCAGATCCGACTGGGGGACGAACCTGCTCAAGCTGCTCTCAGTATCATCACAAACGCACAGACAGGTGCTTCCTCATCTTTATACACTTCTGCCTAAAAGCAGCAGTAAGATTTTTGAATATTGTAATCCATGCCTTTAAAGGGAAACTAATAAATCACTTCTTATAAGGGGTTAAAACACAGTTGTGTGGCAAAAGTGTATGTACATAACCAGCTTCTCATGGTAAAAGTGTATAAATTGTATTATTTATACCCACACGTCTGCAGAAACGCTTTGATTGTGTATTTAGTGTTCCTTGTGTGTTTTTTAGACGGTGTGTTTACATCGGATCAGACATCTCGTATTCAGGAGCTGTTCTGCAGTGGTTTCTGGGCATTTGAGTGTCTGACGCTTCGAGATTATAACGACATGATCTGTGGCATCTGCGGCATCGCTCCAAAACTGGAGATCGCCCAGCGCAGCGCTACCAGTGTCTTACAGCTTAAACACGTGGAGGTAAAATATAATGATCAGACCCAAATGCAATTAGATTAGTATTGGGATTAATTACTGTATACTGTATGCAAAATATACTTACAAAAACATGTCTTGAGACATGTCTAAAGGGACTGTATATCAACTTACTGCCTGACAAAAGTCGCCTATGCAAGTTTTAGAAATAACAAATGTTAACTTGACTTCCAGAAGTGGCTTATATGAAAGGTAAAGGCGTCTAGATTTCACTTATTTGAACAAAATAAAATATGACCATGCCTTGATTTTGAATTATTTAATTAGGACAGTAAGGTCTGACTTTGCTTAGACTAAAGTCTTGTCACTGAACAGAAATAATGTCCAGTATAGAATATAAAGTCATGCTGCAGTGGAGACAGAATGAATATTGTGTCTGACTCCATCATGAGCTTGGAGGACTGCATCCATACATCTCTGACATGACTCAAATCACTTATTAATAAAGTCATCTGGCAAAGAAAGCGTTCTTGCAGGATTCCCAGAGTTCATCAAGACTCTTTGGATTCATCTTCAATGCCTCCTCCTTCTTCTTACCCCAGACATGCTCAATAATGTTCAAATTATGGTGACTGGGCTGGCCAAACCTGGAGCACCTTGACCTTCTTTGCTTTCAGTTTTGATGTGGAGGCTGGAGTATGAGAAGGAGCGCTATCCTGCTGGAGAATTTGCCCTCTCCTGTGGTTTGTAATGTAATGGGCAGCACAAATGTCTTGATACCTCAGGCTGTTGATGTTGTCATCCACTCTGCAGATCTCTCGCATGCCCCCATACTACATGCATTCCCCAAAAATTCCTCCAAAATTAAACTTCTGCCATCATTTATTCTCCCTTTACCCGTTTCAAACCTTTATTAATGTCTTTATTCAATATAAGACAAAATAAGATATTTTGGAAAAAGCTGAAAACCAGTAACCATTCACTTCTATTTGTTTTTCCTACTATGGAAGTCAATGGTTACCGGTTTAGATCTTTCTTTAAAATATCTTCATTTAGTGTTCAGCAGAGGAAAACAACTCAAGAATCATTTAAAGAAGAGTAAATAGTGAGTAAACTTTCATTTTTGGGTGAACATGTCCGTTGAATTGCATTTTTGGGGGGATTAACACATTGTTTAAACACACAGTTGAAGTCACAATTATACACCCTCTTGTGAATTTTTCAAATATTTCCCAAATGATGTTAAACAGCAAGGAATCTTTCACAGTATTCACTCATTCATTTTCTTGTCGGATTAGTCCCTTTATTAATCCGGGGTTGCCACAGCGGAATGAACCGCCAACTTATCCAGCAAGTTTTTACGCAGCGGATGCCCTTCCAGCCGCAACCCATCTCTGGGAAACATCCACACACACATTTACACACACACTCATACACTACAGACAGTTTAGCTTAGCCAATTCACCTGTACCACATGTCTTTGGACTGTGGGGGAAACCGGAGCACCCGGAGGAAACCCACGCGAACGCAGGGAGAACATGCAAACTCCAAACAGAAACGCCAACTGAGCAAAGGCTCGAACCAGTGACCCAGCGACCTTCTTGCTGTGAGGCAACAGCACTACCTACTGCGCCACTGCTTCGCCCTCTTTCACAACATTTCCTATACATTTTTTTTTTCCGGAGAAAGTTTTATTTGTTTTATTTCGGCTAGAGTGAAAGCAGTTTTACTTTTTTTTAAAAACATTTTTAGGTCAATATTATTAGCCCACTAAAGCAATATTTGTTTTCGAATGTCTCCAGAACAAACCAGTTATACAATGGCTTGCCTAATTACCCTAACTTGCCCAATTACCCTAGTTAAGCCTTTAAGTGTGGTTTATTCATAAACTAATTTCGAGAGGATCACGTGCTTATGATCAACACGGCCGGCTCCTCATTAGCTCCGTAATCTGCCCTATTAGATGATTACGGAAGCATTATAAATAACCAGATTTTTTCACTGTAGTTATCTTCGTCCCCCCCCCCCCCCCTATTTTTTCCGATAGGGTGACATGATGGCCCAGTGGCTTGCACTGTTGCCTCACAGCAAGAACACCGCTGGTCCAACCTCCTATCGGGCCGGATGGCGTTTCTGTGCAGAGTTTCCATGTTCTCCTTGTGTTCGCGTGGGTTTCCCCCGGTTTCCTCCCACCGTCCAAAAACATACACCATAGCTAATCGACTCAACCAAATTATCACCTAAGACAACCTTAGTTTACACTTCTCACACGGGGAGTTCTCGAGACTTACCTGAGCTCAAACTCCCCTCTCGCCCTTCTAACGGGAGGGAGCCCCGAGCTCGAGGATATTATGAGCTCAGGGCTCTCTCCCGGGACAGCATGCCAATACGCTTTATTGATTATCAGCTACATGTGAACTCTTGAAATGTCACTTTAAGCTGAATACTAGTATTTTGAAAAATGTCTAGTCAAATATTATTTACTGACATCATGGCAAAGATAAAATAAATCAGTTATTAGAGATGAGTTATTAAAACTATTATGGTTAGAAATGTGTTGAAAACATCTTATCTCTGTTAAACAGAAATTGGGGAAAAAATATTCAGAATAGCTGATCATTTTTACTTCAACTTTACATTACTTGGTCACTGATAATGAGATGATTGACTGTGTTTCTCTGTAGTTCACGTGGCCTGATTTCCCAGCACCGGATGAGGTGCACGTGGATGAGTTTTGGCTGACGATGGAGAACGAGGCTCTGGAACAGGCGGCGTTTCCCTCCAGTGTCCCGATCACTCGTCTGGACGCCTCCATCATCGCTCCTTTCATCCCTCCACTAATGAGAAACACAACCGTCATCAACACTGAGAAGAACAAGATCCTCAACAACACACACAACACTGGTACTGATACTGCAGAGAGATTCACACACTGACAAAATCACATTTTATTATAAAATATAAATATATATAATACTTTTTCCCCGAATTATGTTTAACAGAGAGAAGATTTTATAACACTTTTCTAAACATAATAGTTTTAATAACCCATTTCTAATAACTGATTTATTTTATCTTTGCCATGATGACAGTAAATAATATTTAACTAGATATTTTTATGATACTACTATGCAGCTTAAAGTGACATTTAAAGGCTTAACTAGGTTAATTAGGCAAGTTAGTGTAATTAGGCAAGTCATTGAATAACAATAGCTTGTTCTGTAGACAATTGGAAAACTAGTATAGCTTAAGGGGGCTAATAATATTGATCTTAAAAGGGTATTAAAAAAAAATTAAACTGCTTTTATTCTAGCCGAAATAAAGCAAATAAGACTTTCTCCAGAAGAAAAAATATTATAGGAAATACTGTGAAAAATTCCTGAATCTGTTAAACGGCATTTGGGAAATATTTGAAAAAATTAGAAGGAGGGCGAATAATTTAGACTTCAACTGTATGTGTCTGTGCACTTCAGGAGACGTGGCGGCTCTGGTGCACCTGATTCACGAGGGTCGACTGATTCCAGATCAGCTGCATCTGCACACTGAGGAGGAGCTCAGAGACCTGCTGGAGAAATGTGCCATTCCCGCTCAAGCAGATACTGATAAAGTACGTCACAACACACACACAATTACTTCAAAGATGCTTCATAGACCGCTATTCTTCATATTTTAAAAAACTGATTACGTAGTGTGTGTGTATATATAGTATATATAGTATATCATACAGTCCTGTGAAAAAGTAAGTACACTCTATTAAACTTACACTTGATAAAAACAGTCTGCGGAAATACTTTGATTGACATTTTCCCTTTGTACGTGTCATCAGAGTAAGAAAGCCCCGCCCATTAGTGACAATCTCTTCCTCATTAGCATAAACGACCCTGAGTGAGGAGCAGCTGTCTGCCATTAGAGTTTCCAATACCTGCGGAAATACTTTGATTGACATTTTCCCTTTGGACGTGTCATCAGAGTAAGAAAGCCCCGCCCATTAGTGACAATCTCTTCTTCATTAGCATAAACAGCCCTGAGTAAGAAGCAGCCGCCTGCCTTTAGAGTTTCGAGTCGTATCTGCTGAAGATATTGGCAGCGAATAAGAGGATTATACATGTTGAGTTTTAGATGCACAAATGAACACCAATGTCTTCAGACTGCCTTCTTCTGAGCCACTTCTTTTCACATTTTCAGTTTTCAAAGAGATAACATTAGTCCTGTTTTGAAACTGCTGCTATGCTGAGGAATTGGGGCTTGTAGCTCCACCCTCTTTTAAAAAGAGAACAATCTTATTTGAATTTAAAGCGACAGGCACTAAAACAGCACAATTAGGGTCAAAGCCTGAAAGGGTCAGTTTTTAAAGAGTTATAAAGCATTATCTGTGGGCATTTGGAAGTGAAACTTCACACTAGAGGTCTAAATTTCCGAATACAGCGCGGGAGCGGTAAGTAACAGGTTTAATTTGGGACGGGAGCGGGCTGTCTAGCAATATTGCTCTCGACTCCCGAGCGAGCGAGCACGCGTATGTATGTGTGTGAATGAAACAGCACGATGCTGTGTATAGCTTATTTGTTGCTGTGTGTGTGTGTATGTGTGTGTGAGCGTGTGCATGCGCACGCGGATGAGAGGTGTGTGTGTGCTTGTGTGTGTGCGTGTGTGTGCGTGCGAATGAGAGAGATAGAGAGATTTGTCTATGTGTGTGTGCTTGGTGCTTATGTGTGTGTGTGTGTGTGTGTGTGTTTATACAGACAGCCTATAATAGGTAGCCTATTATAATAGCCTATTATATAGCCTATTATAGGCTGTCTGGACTCTGTATAGCTGGGTGGTTTTCGGTTTTGTTCTTCCCCCGCTCTTTAGGGGCGGGGCGGGCAGCGGGACAACAAATGCTGTATATAAGCGGGAGCGGTCGGGTTCAGGCTAAAACCTGGCGGGAGCAGGCGGGAGTGGGATTCAAAATTTAGTCCCGCGCAGATCTCTACTTCACAGACACACTCACTCTAGAGACATCAGAGATTTATTTTACATTTTGTAAAAAGGGGCATAATAGGATCCCTTTAATGCTATATGTTGTTGTTCATCTGAGGTTTTATCTTTCAATTTGAAAGACCTGTCAAAGGTATGGAAATATTTTAGTAGAAGTGTGAATTTTCTGAATGTTCTTGTGTGTGTTTTTGCAGGCTGATCTGCTGGCGTCGCTGACATCCTTATATACTCAAACTCAGAGCGGCCTGTGGACGGCGGATCAGCCTGAAGATCTGCTGACAGCTGGCAGAATCACCAAAGTCTGTCCTCATCAGGTACTGAAAATACAGAAATATACAGACATTTAACAATATTACAGTCTGTGGCTAATAATATTGACTCCTCAAAAAATGCTTTTATTCCCGCCAAAAAAAAAAACAGATAAGAAGAAATAAATATCATAGGAAATACTGCGAAATGTTCTCCCTCCGTTGAACATCACCTGAATAATATCTGGGAAAAATAACATTAAATTTCACAGGAGGGTGAATCATTTAGTCTTAAACTGTTTAAGAGCCATATGTTTCTGGCTGTGGCAATACTCCGATTTGTTTTTAAGGATTTATTGAACATAATAATGAAGTACTTGGAGTTGAATAATTTAATAATGCAAATTATTACATTTTGACATCACTGAGACAAATGTATGCATTAAAAAGGTCTTGTAAATGCAGTTTACTTGCCGTGGCAGGGTATTAAAGTTTGCATGTAAACCAGTCAGCTGGCTCAGTGGTTAGTACTGTCGCCTCACAGCAAGAAGGTTGCTGGTTCGAGTCCCAGCAAGGGCAGTTAGCATTTCTGTGCAGAGTTTGCATGTTCTCCCCATGTTGGCGTGGGTTTCCTCCAGGTGCTCCGGTTTCCCCCACAGACAAACACATGCTCTGTTGGTGAATAAAAAAAACTAGATTGGTCGTAGTGTGTGAGTGTGTGTAAATGAAAGGGTGTATGGGTTTTTCCCAATACTGGGTTGGGAAAGGGCATCTGCTGTATAAAACATATGCTGGAATAGTTGGCGATTCATTCCACTGTGGTGACCCCTGATAAATAAGGGACTTAGCCTAAGGAAAATAAATAAATGAATGAATGAATGAATTAAAAAAATTACACTAATGAAGAGTCCTCATAAAGCACAAAAACAATTATGTGTGTGTGTGTGTTTGTCATCTGCACAGGTGGTTTGCGGCTCGAAGTATATCGTGCGCAGAGAAAGTGCTCGCGATCACTTGGACCTGCTGCTGTCCTCCAGATTCTGGCCGCCAGTGTATGTGGCAGACTGTGCCCAGAAGGTGGCGCTCTGTGCTGACGTGTCCTATCCTCAACTCGCCAAACAGATGTGGGGGGAAAACCAGGGCTGTTTCTCTGATCCCACAGCAGCTCCACAGGTCAGAAAATAATAGTATTATACTCTGTTACATTTTAAAGTGTTAAACACAAATATAAAGGAGTATATTATTAAGTTGTATTGATGTTAGTAATTATTATAATTTTTTACATTAGTATAGTTCATGTGAAATGATTATAATAGTTGTCAGTGTGCTGCAGTTTTCTTTTTTAAGAACTAAAATGTTTTTAAAATAGTGTATATACATTATGCATTAAATAAATCTAATAATAGCAATTATCATATTTATTAATAATAACATCATATAATTTTTTTTTTCTGTCCTCATTCCAGACAGGTCTGCTTTTGTTTCTTTGATTGAAAATCAAAAACAAATATTTTTAAATATTGAATTAACATTACATATTAAAACTATAATAACAATATTATTATTATTATTTAATATCATATTGTAATTTGAAACTGTCTACTGCAGTTTTCTTTATTGAAACTAAAAAGGAAAAATGTAACAAATTTTGAACATGTATTGAAAAATATAATAATGATAATAACAATTATAACCATCTTATATATTTTACACAATAAACATTTGTTTATTTAAATATTTAATTAATTAATTATTATATTTTTCTGTCCTTGTTCCAGACCTGTTTAATTAGTGTTAAATACTCAATTTGCATTACATATTAAAGCTGTAATAATAATAATAACTATATTATTTTTATAATTATTATTAGTTTTAATATATAATATAAATTACATTTACAAAACTATTATTAAACATTATTTTTATTATTAATAATGTTAAAAACTAAACTATTAATAAAATGTTAAAAAAGTAAACAAAATGTCTAATTATTGCATGTAACAGATAATAATTTATATATATATATATATATATATATATATATATATATATATATATATATATATATATATATATATATATATATATAATATATATGTCTTATATACATAGATATCGTCTTATATCTCGTTACATATCTAATATCTTCTCCAGACTATATCTTACAGTATATCTCTTTATATCATTTTACACAATGTCTGCTGTGATTTTTATTTATTTTTTTTTACATAAAACATTTCTTTTAAAGATATTCCTCTCAACACTTCCACACGGCACATCTACACTCACTGGCCACTTTATTAGGTACACCTGTCCAACTGCTCGTTAACGCCAATTTCTAATCAGCCAATCACATGTTAGCAACTCAATGCATTTAGGCATGTAGACATGGTAAAGACAATCTGCTGCAGTTCAAACTGAGTATCAGAATGGGGAAGAAAGGGTATTGAAGGGTGCGCTCACATTATGCTATCCGAACTGTGCCTAGGCGCATTTCAAGGTTCGTTTGACAAGTGTGAGTGCTCCGAATCAGGCCCAGGCGTGGCTCAGTTGGCCGGCCCTGGCCCGGTTGGAAGAAGTGTGCCAGAGCAAGGTTCACTTGGGCCCAAAACCGAAGATGCAACATCACTTGTTTCATTAATCATTCTTACTGTTCAATAAACACAAACTGTCGTAGATTATTAAAGATGCACGCTTCTCTTCTGTTAAATTGAGCAGCGCATCAATGATGTTGTAAGTGTGCTCCAGCTCGGTTGCAATGTGAGTGCAGACCGTGGGGGAGATGGGAGGGGGGCATGCGTGCTTCAGCATGATTCAAGTCAACTGTACATAGTGTGAGTACGCCCTAAATGACTTTGAATGTGGCTAGTTGTTGGTGCCAGACGGGCTGCTCTGAGTATTTCAGAAGCTGCTGATCTACTGGGATTTTCACGCACAACCATCTCAACAATAATTATGCACATCTCCTGTTGTGTTTCAGTATGTCTCGTGCTCAGAGCTCCAGGATCAGCCATACAGTCTGGACCTCACCGTGACCGACTCCAACCCTCAGCTCCACCCGCTCACCAAATCCACCTCCCGCTGGATGGTACGACCCGACACACCCACCTCCACCCTCAAGGACGCCCACTACAACATCAGCCTATGTAGAGAATTGGAGCCCTACGCCAGCCTGAGCGCCCAGATCTGTGAGCCAAACAACCACAAACCAACGCAAGTGTTCCAGAACGCAGCGTATTATTACCTGTACAACCGTCTGCTGGACTTCCTGAGCAGCAGAGACATCGTGAACCAGCAGATCACAGACGTGCTGAGCTCCTGCCAGCCTGGAGAGGTGCTGATGATCAGAGACGCCCTTTACAGACTGGGCATCGCTCATGTTAACACTGAACAGGAGGACGAGGAGGATGGAGGACACGCACACACTGATGGGGTAGTAGAGCTGGAAGAGCTGATGCTCGTCTGATGCAGGTTTACGTACACGCATACACACACAGACTTGTTCATATATCCAGATGGGGACTCTCATATGTAATGATGTCTCATGTTATGTATGATGTTTAAGAATGTTTAATGATACAAACCATATATTCCCTAACCCTCACAGAAAACAATCTGCAGTTTTAGATATTTTTTAATCCTTATTCAAGACCTTGATTGTTTATTTGATTGAAAAAATAATTTAAATATTTATTTACATTATACATTAAAACTCTCCTAATAATAATAATAATAATAATAATAATAATAATAATAATAAAAATGATATTAATAATAATAATAATAATAATAATAGTAATAATAATAATAATAGTGATAGTACTACTACTACTACTACTACTGCTAATAATAATAATAATAGTTGTTGTTATTATTATTATTATTATTATTATTATTATAGTTTTAATGTATAATATTATAATTTTCTCTCAATTAAATAAAAGCAGACAGTCTGGATAATAATAATAATAATAATAATAATAATAATAATAATAATAATAATAATAAGATTGTTGTTTAATAGATTTTTTATATAATAAAAATAGTATTATTATAATAATAATAATGATTATTATTATTACACTATTATTATTATTATTGTTGTTGTTATTTTAATAGTTTTAATATCTAATGTAAATTTACAAAACACTTATAAAACAACAATCTTATTATTATTATTAATATAATTATTATATTTTCGTAAATTTTTATTTTTATTTTTATTAACTCTAACCCTTACAGAAAGCAATCTGCACTTTTATATTTTTTCTATCCTCATTCCAGACCTGTTTATTTGATTGAAAAAAGGTTTAAATAATGAATTTACAGTATATAATATAACACTATAATAATACTTATTATAATAACAACAGTAATAATAATAATAATAATAATAATAATAATAATAATAACAATAACAACTATTAAAACACTATTATTAAACAACAATCTTATTATTATTATTATTTTGTTATTTTTTGGTTTTTTTTATCACCAAAAAAAACAATGTTGTTTAATAATAGTGTTTTGTAGATAACATTTTAAATAAAATAATAATAATGATAAAAAGATAGTTTAATATTTTTTTGTATAATATTATTTTTATTAATATTATTATTTCTATTATTATTATTGTAGTTTTAATATCTAATGCAAATTCAATTTAGAAAACACTATTATTAAACAACAATCTTCTTCTTATTGTTATTACTATTTTATTTATTTATTTATTTTAATTCACCCTAGCCCTTACAGAAAACAATGTTGTTTAATAATAGTGTTTCATAAATTTAATTTTTATTAAAATAATAATAATAATAATAATAACAATAATGTTGGTTAATAATAGTATTTGTAGATTTAAATTTCATTAAAACTTTTATTATAATAATAATAATAGTAAAATACAAAGTCCTTATATTCAGGTTTAAGTCCCCAATGGTATATAAAAACAAGCTCACTCACACACACACACACACACACACACACACACACACACACACACACAAACACACACACACACACACACGTGCCTGGAGAGATGGAGAGAAATATTGGGTTCCTGAAAGCACTTGAGAGGATGGAGACGTGAAAATAAACTCATCGTTTATTCTCCTTTATATTGCGTTTGAATGAGTTGAGTATAAGAGTGATTTTAAAGGGTTAGTTCACACAAAAATAAGTATTATCCCATGATTTGCTACATCTCAATTCGCCTACTTATAAGATGTCTGTGTTACAAATCCTTTAAAAATGTTACAAACCATTTTATTATTTTACAAATCATTTTATTATTTCATTTACACTACTTTCTCGTTAATGAACAGACTGTTAATCATCTCATCACATCCCTGCACATTTCTTTCACATTTAATTTCCTACTATACTTTCTACTTTCCCATTTTAATAATCCCCTATTTATATATATATATATATATATATATATATATATATATATATATATATATATATATATATATATATATATATATATATATATACATACATACAGTTGAAATCAGAATTATTATTATTAAATAATAATTATTAATTATTATTTAACAGAGCAAGGAAAATTTCACAGTATGTCTGATAATATTTCTTCTTCTGGAGAAAGTCTTATTTCGTTTATTTCAACTAAAATAAAAACAGTTTTAATTTTTTTTTACATCAATTCCCCAATTTCTGTTTAATGTAGGGAAGATTGTTTCAGCACATTTCTAAGCATAATAGTTTTAGAAACTTATTTCTAATAACTGGTTTATTTTATCTTTGCTATGATGACAGTAAATAATATTTGACTAGATATTCTTCAAGACACTTCTATACAGCTTAAAGTGACATTTAAATGCTTAACTAGGTTAATTAGGTTAACTAGGCAGGTTAGGGCAATTAGTCAAGTTATTGTATAATGATGGTTTGTTCTGTAGACTATGGGAAAAAAAAATAGCTTAAAGGGGCTAATAATTTTGTCCCAAAATTGATGTTTAAAAAAATTAAAAACTGCTTTTATTCTAGCCTAAATAAAACAAGTAAGACTTTCTCCAGAAGAAAAAATATTATCAGACATACTGTGAAAATTTCCTTGCTCTGTTAAATATATCTAAATAATTCTATTATATATATATATATATATATATATATATATATATATATATATATATATATATATATATATATATATATATATATATAATTTTTTTAATGCAGAAATATGAGCCAATCTTAACAGAGGCCATTTGATAAGGAGAATAATGAAGCAGTGCCTTTAAAATAGATCATTTCACATTGTCAGAATAAGGACTGCAAATATTAATTCCCCCATATACACAAGTGAAAAAAAAAAAAAAATTCTGTCATGAATATATACCCTCTTTATTTTCCTTCGGCATTTTAGTCCCTCAATACAGGGGTCGCCACAGCGAAATGAACTTATCCAGCATATTTTTGCGCAGCAGTTGCCCTTCCAGCTGCAACCCAGTACTGGAAAACATCTACACACTCATACACTATGGCCAATTTAGTTTATTCAATTCATGCAAACTACACAGCAGTGCCAACTGACCCAGCTGGTGCTCGAACTAGCGACCTTATTGCTGTGAGGCGACAGTGCTAACCACTGAGCCACCGCGTCACCCCTGACACCTTTATGACTGCAGTAAATAAGAGACATAGAAAGGTAAAACTCAAAACTGACAGCGTTTATTATCATCAGACTTTTTCATTGAAGACATTTACTGATCAGCAGCCACCGACATCACTCCATCACTCCGAAATGTAATTCCACTGAAAACAACGCTCACTAACATTTACACAGTTTATTAGTAGCATTCAGCAGTATTTGTATGAAAAATAAAACCCCACAGTTGTGAGTATATCTAAGGTGTAGCATTCGTTCACGAGAAGGCTTTAGAGTAATGTTAGCACACAGATAAACAGTAAGAAATCACATCGTTATAATGAATACATCTCATATATAACACTTTGACCATTTAAAAAAGTATTGCATAAACATTTCTCATAATATGAACATATAAACATGGCAGTTTGTGCTTTCGGAAAGAAAACATCAGGGTCTTTTCTGTTTATAAAGTAGACCTCTAGTTAATCACATTTTAATGCTACCTATAAGGTTTCTCTGGCAGTGTTCAATGCTACATCGAAGGAAAATACTTGGAGAAATAAAGACTTATTTTGAGAACTGTATAATCTAGATATACTAGAACTATATATGAGTGTGTGTGTGTGTGTGTGTGTGTGTAGGCAAAAGCATGCTGAGAGGATTCACTTTCTGTAAGAATACTATTCCAAAATCCACCAAAGAACATGAACAGGGAAACCAACAGGAGCTCGTACAAAAGAGCAACATTAACAACACTGACTGAAACACAAGGGTCATTTATACAGGTGGCAACAATGAGGGTAAACAAGGGGGAGGAGACAATGATTAATGATTAACAAGAGCGTGGCAGTATGTGTTAACAATAACATGAAATGAAACTTGTTTAGCTGTCATTTTAAGTTACAGGAAAAACAAATGCTTAGTTTTCCTTCCTAATAAATGTGTGCGGTCAGTCAGTATCGTTCTGAAGGCTTTTTAGGGTTGTGGTTAATGAGAACGGCTGATTGACCTGCAGTTAATCTGTAGACGGGAACGTGTCCTGCAAACCTGCGCTGACCTCGAGTGTTTAGATTTTAGACTTGAACTAGAGCAGGAGACACACAGATTATGGAGTTCGTATCTGTACTCTGCACTTCTTACACTTAAACTTACACTTAAACTTAATATTATGTGATGGCGGATGTTCGTTTGTTTGTTTGTTTCCGGTGACTGGAGAAGAAGTGCATGTAAAGTGGAAGTGAAACATGCAGCGTTTGCACATATAAACGCTGAACAAGCTGCTTTCCAAACATCCATGACGGAGAAGTTCAAGTAACAAAACACAAAAAGACATTAGTTTGCCAAAAAAAGCACATTCGGCCACACAGATTGGAGCTTCTGGTTGTCCACTTACGCATTTGGTGGGGAAGTGAAACCGGATGTTTTTTTAAACATGCCTTTACTTTGTTTTCCAGCATATCTAAAAATTTATAAATCAGGGTTAACTTATTCGAGATGTAAAATGTCTCATGATACTTTTTAAATATATATTTGTAATATCCCGGACGAGCCCCCCCTAAAATCAAATAATAATCTTGCAATATAGAGGGTCATATAGAAAGAGATTACGTAACGTAAATAAAAATGAGTGAACTATATTAATAATTAAGATCACACTTCATTTTAAGGTACAATTGTCACTATTAACCGTTCACTAAGACTTTTAGCTCAATTAACTCCATATTTGCTGCTTATTATTAGTTAAGTTAGTAGTTGGGTTTACGGCAGGCTTAGGGATGTATAAAAAAAGATATGTAAAAATTCATAAATCAGGATTACTTTATTTGAGATGTAAAATGTCTCATGATACTTTGAAAGAATTTTAAAAAAATTCCCGGACGAGCCCCCAAAATCATTTTAAATCTTTGCACATAGAGGGTCATATACAAAGAGATTACATTACGTAGATAAAAATGAGTGAACTATATAAATAATTAAGATCACACTTTATTTTAGGGTACAAATGTCACTATTAACATACCATTAACTAAAACTTTTAGCTCAATTAACTCGGTAACTAGTTATTAAGGTAGTAGTTAAGTTCAAGGCA